AATGTTTGAAGGTCTCTTATGCTCACCAATGCTGCAATTTATTTGATCAAAAGTATAGTGAAAACAATTATGAAATATTATTACAATTTAAAATGTTCTATTTTAATGTATTTTAAAATGTAATTTATTCCTGTGATGGCAAAGCCAAATTTTCAGCAGCCATTACTCCAGTTTCCAGTGTCACATGGTTCTTCAGAAATTATTCTACTATGCTGATTTGCTGCTCAAGAAGCATTTCTTATTTTCAATTTTGTGCTGTTTAATATATTTGTGGAAACCGTGATACATTTTTTCAGGATTCTTTGATGAATAGAAGGTTCAAAAGATCAGCATTTATTCAGTATAGGAATCCTTTGTAAAACTATAAAAGTGTGTAAAAGTTATAATGTGTTCTTGCTTTATAAAAGTATTAATTTCTTTTTATTTAATCCTATCTACCCCAAACTTTTGAATGTTAGTATAGGTTTGTTTATTATGCCACAACAGGTGTGAAAATGTGTGGGTGGTGGGTGGAGTTGAAGACATGTGTTGAAACATGCTGCACTGAAACAGAAATTTGCCTCAGACTTTTATTTTGTCCATCATAAACTTACTTGTTTTGAATACCACCATTTACATCTTCACACTACGCTACATCAAGTCTACCTTAACTAATCTGGGAGAGCTTAACTTTTATTGTCCCAGTAGTTATAGATTAACTTTGTCTTGTGTAATCAGTCAGTGCATGAATGTATTTATTTGACTTTTTCCTCCCTTTCCCTTCGTACCAGATGAGATGAAACAAGAAACTAGCCAAAACATTTGTCAGCACTTCCTCTTGGGCAGATGTCATTTTGGAGACAGATGTCGACTGTCTCACAGGTCTGTCAATCACTCTGGATGGTAGAGACTCAACTAGTGAACTAACCTCATGCTAGACATGATTTATTATCTGGATATTTTCATTTCAACAGCAGTTGGCAGAACTTGGCACAGTGTCTTGTAGTTGCCGTAAAAGATATGGAATTTGTTAGATCTTGGGAATGTTCATTGAAGCTTAGTGGATAAATAATGCATTGCTCTTTCCTGACTTCACAGTGTACCTGACGTCCCTCAAAGCACACACTCAGAGGAAGATGATACAGCCGTCACAGAAAAGCAGAGCAAGACCCGAAAAAACAGAAAACAGATAGACGCAGAAAAGCAGCATATAAGGAATGAGAAGGAAGGTGTGTTTATAGAAATAATGAAGTGCAGAGGTACTTTACCTTCCAAATTCATACTTCAGGTTTACAAATAGATGCCTTTCTGTCTCAGGGTGTAAGAAGAAGCCACGCATGCGTACAGCCGACGATGTCATCTCCAGAATTATATGGGACTCCTCAGTGGACCCAGCTAATTTTATAGTCGGTCACCTGGACCGTTTCCTTGGGGTGCTGGAACGGCCATTCTCTGAATTCTCTTGGGACACTCAGGTCTGTTACATCAGCACTGATATGGTTCATTACCATATATCTTGTATGGTCATAAGCCTTAACACTGTTCCTCATTAGGTATGTGACTGTGACTTCTCTGAGGAGCTGTCTATCCCTCGTCATAGGATCCAGTACTTCAGCTACAAAGGCCAGCGGGTGTGGGATAGGGACAGTCGCACTGACAGGGTGTTCGGTTCAACAGGGCAGACTATTTTGCCCCCTTTTGGTGGTGCGAATCAGCATCAAGGTGAGTGACCGTATTATTTTGGCTGGGAAACGGGTTGTTTATTGGAAATTGGTTATTGCGTCAATGCCATAAAAGAGTGTTCACAATAAAGAAAAGGACAAATATTTAAACATCTACTTTAAACCACATTATTAGTAGTTCTGTGTTTAATAATTTCTTTTTATTTTTTTTTTTGGTGTGTTGGTTGAACAGTGTGGAATTTTTTTTTTGCTCTCACCATATGACTAATAAAATAAAATATTAAAATAATAAAAGATTATATTGAAGTACTTAATAAGGTTTTCTTTTCAAGAATTTCATTATTTTAATGAAGCCTTTTCTTCAATATCATATTAAGACTTTATGTCCCAAAACATATATCCTAATGAATTTTAATTTATTAAAAACATGCTCATGATAGAAAAATGTTTATGAGTTGATGAATTGTATATTTAATTTAATATTTAAATATTATAGTTGTTATTCAATAATAAACAGCATTATTTTATATAATAATTTTATAGTATTCATTTAATAAAATACTATGTATCTTAATTTTAATATATTGGAATTATTAAATTCTCAGACAATTTAGCTGACACTGAACAACACGAAGAGACCACCAACACAGTAGATGGCCAAGAGCAAGCGACTGTATTTTCTAAAGAACAGGATGATGGTGCAGCTGCAATTAAAACAAACAAACAAGAACTGGGAGATGCTGTAGATCACTCATTTACCGAAAATGCTGAAGATGATATTTTACTTTTGCAAAAAGAATCTGCACAAGAAGACCAAAATATGTCGGCTACCGAAGATTTGAATCAGTTGGCAGAGGAGTTATCCATCGCTCCGAAAGAGGAACAGACTGAAATAGTGGAAGAATGGAAGGACAGCTGGGACGGAGAGAGGGGTACAGAAGCAGAGCCAGTATCATCCTTGCCACAAGAACCTCGATCCAACCGTCCACCACCACGCAAAGCCACCCACTTCATCTGCTTCCGCGTGGACTCTCCCGCTGCTCTCCAGGCCTTTCAGCGCATTCAGAAAAAGGTTCTCTCCCAGCTTCCTCAGTCAGAGTCTCTATGGGTGGATCCTGCAACTTTGCACGTCACTCTTTCCTTACTTGTCCTGAAGGGCCCAGAGGAAGTCAGCGCTGCTGCTGAGCTCCTGCGTACCACAGTCAGAAACTCCCACAAACCCCCTATTTCTGTGTCTTTCACCCCAAAACTAAAGCACTTTAATGGGACTGTTCTCCATGTGGCCCCACATCCCCTGTTCGATGTCCAGTGCCTGAATTCCCCTATCCAAGAAGCCTTCAAGGCGAAGGGCTGGCTACACCGCCATTCCCGATGCCCAACATACCACCTCACCCTGGCCAAATCGCAGGAGTCCATGACAGAGAAGATGTTTGAAGGAATAGGGTCTGTTAAACTAGCCAAAGATATCAACTTCGGGAAGCTAGAAGTAAATAAACTCTATCTTTGTGTGAACGGTCATTCAAACACAGAGAACGGTTTCTATCAGGTTGTATGTGTTGTGCAGCTGCCCAATGTGTAAAAGTGCCTGGTTTATGTATCATCTGAACTCGGGGTTGATAGTTAATTACTACATCAAATAATTTATATATTTAAATGAAACATTTTAATCATGTACTCCTAAAATTACTCCTCTCCAATTCCAATTTTAAAAATGTGTACAATAATTTCTAGATCATCTCTGTTGCAGTGAGAAACACTATTCAGTTTTATATCTTTATATTCTCTCTTCACAAACTCAAATTTTAGATAACACAAGCATTTGCGACAATGGAAGTTCTTTAAATTTAGTCATATTATATGTACAGCAGTCATATTTCAGTGCGGAAGCAAAATAAAATTGAATGGCCAAAGAACTGAACAGCTTTGACATTTGAATTTGACATTATTTTATTATTTTAATTTTATTTTGTTTTCATATATTTTCAGGTTAGTTTAATTTGAATTTGTACATTTTTGTACAAATATAACAAGACCTTCTCTTAGTTTAGGTTTGTGTGTGCATTTGCTTACCCTCTTTTGGGTAAAGACACACAGCATTCACCTTAAATGTACCTGGTAATTTCTTCACTTTCTGTTCAGGCATTTATTGTAAGATGTTGCTAAGTGACTCAGTGCAAGGCAGTATTTTTGGATCACATATCGAATTGGATGTGAGGGTGAGTGTGTAATTTTTTATCGAAAGTGGACTGGAAATAAATAAGTAATTTACCATGTGTTTCAGCTATGTTTTTATAGCACAAGCTCTCAATTATTCAGCATCAAACAAACGACTCTGAACAGCTGTAGATTTAGCCACTGGAATGTCTTTGGACCTATGAAATTAAATCAAACTAAATGACATGTTTTATGATTTTTTTTTCTTGTGCGCGCGTGCTACATTAGCAGCTCTGTCTGAGATGTGAGCAAGGAAGTCTTGCATGCATAACATCATTTTATCTTTCCTCATGCACACTACACATATATGAATGCTTGTGCAGTCTCTTTCTCTCCATCCCTCCCTCCCTCCTGTGCTTCTCCATCCAGCACCCCTCCCCCATCCTCACTCGCTTTCTCTTTCAGTGACACAGAAAAACCAACACCACCCTCCCTCTCTCATGCATTCATATGCCCCCCACCCCATACTCCCTTGGCACACAAATACCCATCTCCATCCCTCGCTCGTACGGTTGTTTTCATTGTATTTTTTTTTATTAATCCCCCTATCTCGGTTAAACCTCCCGGGCCACCGAGAGTCTAGCATCCCTTCAACCCTTCCTTTCACCGCCCATCACCTACTTAATTTGTGGTCAAAGAGTGCATTAAATAATCATAATAAGCCTTTATGGGAATTCCCTGAGAATTTAAGCCAAACTGCATGGATTACATTTGGAAAACCTTGTGACATGTCGTTATTGTCTTTTTTATTCTTTAATTTGAGAAAACAGCCTCTTGTATGTGGTTTTCTCACAACTAATCACCTTTCTTTCGATCTCTGTCATTATGTGATGTCATGCACTCGGTCTAAATACAGTACATGTGTAAATCCCTCCATCCCTTTTTGTCTCTTGCACACAAACACCCACAGTGAGAGAGAGAGAGAGAGAGAGAGAGGGAGGGAGAGAGAGAGAGAGAGACAAGTTCAGTCCTGATCATTGGGACCCTCAGGACCACACCAATTTAAATCTTCCATTCACTTGCTTAAATTAGACTCAAATGTGTTTGAATATGGTACAATTAAAATAAATATACCGATTTTTATCCCCACAATATAAATAGCTTTTTTATTAGCCATAGTTGTTAGTATTTTAAACAAACACTCTGCACTGGAAGGATTTCATTTGCCCCTGGATGTTATGGATTTGCTATTTCTGCAGACTTGAACATGTAGTTTGTGTGGGAACGGCATCGACGACATAGTTGTGGATTTTTTAAACACGAATTCTGACTGAGAACAATTAATTTAGGAAGTTTCTTTATTTCAATGACTCTGGGCGTTCTTTCGCGCGACTGTGGACAATGATTCAAGTTCTCCGCGGATTTCAAATCAAGAGTGAAACTGACGGATAGGCGTCGGGATTTGAAGTAGTCGTCCCTCTCTTAAAACATCCCTCAGGGATTCTCGCCTCTCTCCGAAGACCTGTTTCCCATCATCCATCAGCGAGCACAAAGACCGGGCGCATACTGGAACTGAAAACACTAGTTTTCTCCTGAAGCCTTGTACAACAGATCTCACCACTCAGGATGCAAACCGTTCCAACGGTCAGCGGTCTCTGTAAACGCATCTAATCGCAAACAAATTCACACGAGCGTGACAGGCGTGGAAGCACCCACATTAGGCTGCTGCAAATTAAGGTGGGCAACCGTTTTAAAATGTGCCATATAAAATTGTATAGCATATTGTGCGGTTCATTTACCGTGTTAATTGGTCTGCGTGCTAAACGTATGACAGTTAATTTATTACGCGAGACCATTCAAACTAAAGATTCTCACAGTGTGTGTCCAAACGCCAAGACAACGCGCTGTGAGTATGACTGGATATGATTGCCATAAACAAGTAAGTCAGCCAGAGAGAATGAGATCGATTGGTCTCGCGCCGGGTCAACTCACACAAGTGCAATCCGCAATCAATTCGGTCCTATTTCGTTTCTAGGCATTCTGAAGTTTTCATCGATATCTATTAGATTAGCATCAGTCCTGTTGTGTGGATGATTGTATATTTATAAATACCTTCATAATGAGCTCCTTTAGTCATTGACACTACACACAACTAAATGCAAATACAAACAATGGCCCCCAGTGACCTTTATGAACTTGTTTGGACCCTCATTTGGACCATCTAGCACCGAAAAATGCCCTCACTCAAGCATACATGCATGGCTGGCTCTATCAATAGTGTGATTTTATATTGACATTTTGGTGTATATTTACATATTGTATGTAATTCTGTAATTCTCAGAAAACACAAGAGCAGGTTTTAGTTGTTTGAGAGCAGGCAGCTTATTTCAACAGAGTATTATAATTTATAATATCCCTTTTTATTGTTAATGCTGTATGACTAACTGTATCATACTGTCAACATTGGTCTTTTATTGGACAATGATTTCAGATGTATTACTTTCAAGGGGCATTTCAAGCCTTGAATAGCCTATTCATGGAGGTTATTAGTGATTATAATTTTATATTTTGTATTTATTTATTGCAATAATTTACAGATTATTTTTAGATGTATTTATTTTAGCATAGTTCAGTCCTAGTAACCAATGATTAATTCATTTTCTTTATTATATCAAGCTGGCGAATTAACAACACTGACTATAATATGCAGGGAAGTCCATATATTCTGAACTTGGAAACCCTACTTCAGATGTTATTAAAAATGTTACAAGGAAATGGCTCCATTTTAGGATACACATAATAATATATCGTTATCATACTCCTGTCACTTTGTGAAAATTTCATTTGTTATAGTTTATTGCTCATGAAATGAGCTAAGTCACAGATGAACGTTTCCTCATAGTATTATAAAGTGGCAATTCCATAAAATCTAATGAGTTTTCAGTGAGCTTAAAATGGCTTATTTTGGATGACAAACCCTCTTGATGACATCATTAGTAATCCTGGAAACAATTTTAGTTTTTTGTTTTTATTTTGCATACTTATGTTGCAGATAATTATAGTGAAGTTAAGGAATTGGACAGATGATGCTAAGCATTATTCAGTCCAGAACAGAAAAGAAAGAAAAAAAGCAAAATGTTTTGTCCCTCTATTGTACATTTTTCTTCCTCGCTCCATTTCCAAACTCGCATTATTGCCTTTCCGTTATGCAATGCGAGCCATCCTTATAACAAGCTGGCAGAATGCATCATGTTCGGAGGTGCTGTAGTGTTCCAGTCTGAGTCACGGTCTGCATGTTTAACTGTTCCATAACACTGTTTACATTAATTTGGCTTTTATTCCCATTTGCATTTGAAAAGAGGACACTTATAATAATGCTGCACCAATTATACCACAATTCACCAGCTTATTGTCTTGACCCGCTGCATGCTGGTAATGTTCTCAAACTGTAAATGAATAGCCTTCAGACATCATTATGAACAAAACACATCAGACACTAGTGTAAGGGTTATTTGTGATGGAGCAGTTTCTTGTTAATTTAGCAATGTGAGATGTTAACTGTTTTGGGAGGATGAAGTGGATGACAGATGACATATCCAGACCTTAGGAATGAAACTTAAGCCAGTGCTTACGCCATTTCTCTTTTTGGAAGGGTTCTGTTAATCAAATGATCTACCAACTTCTGGCAATGATCGAATTTTGAGGCAGGCCAAGGTTACCTGTTTGTCCAAACAACGCCAGACAGGGAGAGGTTTTTGGTAGACCTCATTTACAGCAATAGCTATTTTTACATTTTACATTTTTTTCTGTTTTATGCAGATAGTGGTGCAGAAATTACTCAAAGAGTAATTCTGTTAGTTAATCAATTTCAATAGGCCCATCTTTATTTCATAGTGATGTTGAAATCCATAAACCCTAATCAGGTCATAATAACTTTGGAATGTGCAGTATATAAGTTTACAGAAGTTTAATAGTGTTAGAATGTATTGCATTTGATTATAAATTAAAATCAGGTTATAAAGTTAATGAAATGGACCCATATAGATCCCATGAAGTAATTAAGGAACACTGGGTCAATGATGAGTTATTAGTGATATACATAGGATCATGAGCTCATAATTAAAATAGAATGTATAGCCTGATGATTTCATAATGAGTCCCATCATGAGGACATGATGATTTCAGAATGTATATGCCCAGATGAGGTAATAATTATTTTGTGACGTATGTCTCATGAAATAATAGTGATATTAGAAGGTGCATGCCGCCCTTGTATAATTTTAGAGTGCATATAGTCCCTCAAAACTCAAAAAAATTATTTTTTAAAAAATGTATTGAGTTCTCATGAGATCTAATGGTTGCTCAGTGTCTGGCTATCTTAGAAACCTCTTCTCTTATCATTGATGATCTAATCACTTAATCCATGTTGTGTTCCCAGTGGACCTCAGTCCTGGTAATGAAAATGTTTGTGTGTGTGTGTGTCTCTACTTAACCTACTTTTCTTTATTTCTACATTCTCCTCTTTCTTGCTCTTGTTTGTTTGGAGTCTTTGGGGTTGACATTTTTTCCTCCTTTTTTCACATCAAACGATTTCATACAAGTTGATGTGTGATAAAAATCAAACAGAATCAAATCATTTTATTGTCATTCAACCTTATATAAATGTAATGATAAGAGAAAAAGTGCAGCCCACACACTACATTTATACAAATAACTTATCTATTGTACAGAATAAACAATATGCACACAACACAAATATTAAAAATGTAATTTAAAATTTGTCAATATATAATATAATATTATTTATTTAAATCTGTTTCAGACAATAAATATTGAAATGGTTTATGTTATTGCCGTTTTTTAAAATAATTTCTATTTTAAAATGGATTTGTTTAATTTTTATAGTGGATATACTTTGCAGTCTTAGGACACAAGTTAAAAACTTTAAATGTAATCTGTACATAAAAGTAGTAAAAATAAATGATAAAGGCACGGCAAATCGTTTCTGAGATGGTTTAACTGTCATTAATAATTAAAAAATATCTATATGATGTGTAGATGAAGTGATGTATAGAATATTATATAGCCGACTCAGTCCAATCTTGGTGTGTTCTCTTTATAATTACATGTTTCTCAATCATTTTCAGATACTTGAGAAAGACAGAGGTGGTTTACAGCAGTCATGGCAGCCATAGCAACTGTCCCTAACTACACCCCATCGATATGGGTACGGTTATGCCATGCCATTCCTCGCCTGGACTTGACCCTGCAGACCCGAGACAGCGTGTTCACTCCAAACAGCTGGGAGTATCAGCAGGTAACCCTCTCTCTCATTCCCACTCACTTGTCCCCTGCCCTCTCCTTGTTTCTCACTTTCAGAAACAATTTTCACACCTGACAGCTGGTGGTGGGTCCAAATAATGTCGCTCCACTCATTATTTGGAGCGACACATTTATTTCTGTCTCGCTCTCTATTTTCTCTCCTTTGTTTGCACCCTCTCATTTTGTCTAAATTATATCACATATATGCAATATAATGTATGAACAGTCAGAAATGTCTTTTTTCTTGCTGTCAGTAGGAGTATTTTTACCTTGACTCGCACAATATACTCTCACTCACAGCACTGTTATACTCTAACACAGACTATTAGAGAGACTAAACTGAAGTGTTATAGTCAAAACCATTAAAGGCACTTTTCTGTCTGCAGTTTAAAGATATATTGACTCAAAATTGAGTTTGTATCTCACATTCTCTGATCTTTAGTGGCTAAAGAGCCATAGACTTGCAATATCAGAGACTAAAAGCATGATGGACTGATGTAAAAATGATAACTCCATTATGACAGAGACACATTTACAGACATAAGTGTATGTTTCCACATCAGTAAGATATTGATAAAAAGATATGAGTATAAATGTCCAGCACTAGGACAGGAACTATGATGCAGTGACTGTGGCTTACATAAAGGTTCATTTCCATTTTGGTTCAGAAAGCATTAAATGCTTGTTCGTGAATACACGTTCCAGAAAGGCTCTTAGTCTAAGGAGGTGATATTTCAGTGACAGGTTATGTATAGTAACATTATAATGCCAGTTAGGTGGTGAGAAATGATTTATGACTGAATCCCTGATTCATTTATTCAACCGATTTAACCATATATCGATTAAATCAGGAACAAAACAAGTGATGTTCTTTATGAATGAGTCATTGAATCGTTCATTTAATGGATTTGTTTAAAACACTGAATTATTCTGCATTCAGGAATGAAACACAAGTTCTTTGTGTAGTACTGTGACTTTGTTTGGAATTATTTTCATTCACAGAGAAAAAAACAGACAATGTAACTGGCAATATTGTGTCTAAAATAGTAAATATTAGTATTAAAAATACTAAAATATAACTTCTTGTTCATTGAACTTCTATTTCACGAATTCGCCTGCCCATTCAGCCCTGCCAGGTAATGGTAAAACGAACTTGGCTTGCTGTCCGTGAAGGAGGCTCGAAACCCGAGGCTCGGCTTGAGCTCCGAGTAAGAAACCCCCCCTATGATGATACGGTGTGGATGAAAGAGAAGGGATTTAAAGGAGGAGAAGGGGTGGTGGAGGGATGCCGGAAGAATATTCGCTTTGACGGAACAATGACTGCTGCTTATATACGGTCGAAACGATGATTGGCAGGACTGGTTGATTAGGCTCCTCCCGAACCTGCGTTGCGAACTTCATTTCACGAATTCGCCTGCCCATTCACGATAATGATGCGCTTCTTTCCCGAGAATTTTCTGGTGGCTATACCAATAGGGTTTATGCGATGTAGGTCGAATGGGGGGGAATCGAATGGGCCGATCATAAAGTTAGAATCCACCTCTTTTGCGAGGAGGGAATCTACGATATCTGGTTCTGACAGTGCGGATTGTAAGTTATTACAGACAAAAGTGGCATCTGGAAGACTTTCAAGACCGGGATCAAAACCTTGTTTTAGGCCGGAAAGCAAATAGTGAGTAAAATTTTTGTCAGGGTGATTTTTTAGCTCAAGAGATAACATTGAGTAATTCACAGGAGAAGAGAGGTATTTTTTTTAGATCTTTATTGTTTTTTGCTGAAGATTTGTACACGGGGCAGACAGGGCGGGCGTGAGCACCGCCACAGAAATTACACACATGCAAAAAACGACATTTTTGCCTGAAACAGCGGAAATCGTTGAAGTTATTGCAAACTTGGTGATTTGAAATGGAAGAATAACGACCTCTAAATGGGGCAGAGCGATCTGACCCGGACTGTGGCACATATGATGTAGATTTGATAGATTCGGAGGTAGGCTGAGACTGAGGGCTCGGAGAATTTTGAGTGATTAGTGGGTAGGAGTGGCACTGATGAACGAGAGTCCTACAAATAGAACATGAGATGTTACGGCAGCCGAGGAAGACACGATTATACAAATCGAAGTCGAGGGCACCCCAGTAGGGGCACTGGTTCCACTGCGCAACCTTTGTCGCGCATTTAGCTGAAAATAGCTTGTGATACGTGTAAAAGTGGCTGCCGCCGAATGACAGAGAAAAGTCAGCGATAATCGAGAGATAATCATTTAGCTCCTTACGCCTGTTTGGAAAAACTGAACAGATTACGTCTGTATATTTTCCAAATGCTAGAACGAATTCTGCGAGTGAAAGAATGCGATTGGAGCTAGAGGCTGAATCTTTAAGGGTCACGGAAAAAATGCCACAGTCCAGGGATCGATAGCAATCTTTTTGCGGGATGGGAGATAGAAGAGATGCTAAGTCCACGTCCATACCTGAGAGGATTTGGGTGCGGAGCGGAATGGACACGGATGGGGGCTCCATGGCAATGGCATGAGCAGGAGTTGCTGTTGGAACGGTCGTGTAGAGAGTATAGGATGGAGGACGGGCTGGAATAACGTTAGAGGGAGGAAGGCTGACAGGGGGAAAAGACGAGGCAGGCACCGTTTGCGGAGGCAGCCTCACGCTGGGTTCTCTGCTCGAAGAAGGAAAGAAAGAAGTAGATGAGGAAATATAGGAGGGATGCAGACAAGAGACCGGAGCGGGACCCAATTGCGGAGGCAGCTTCACGCTGGGGGGCGCTCCAGAGATGGTTGGATAAGAAGTAGGAGGAGGAAAGCCATCTCCTTCTCAGAAACAGTCCAAGACATCATTGCTAGTTCTAACATGACTGATGAACATAACTAATAAGAACATGTTTTAGACACATATTCGCTAGCATATATAAATATATTTTAATTAAAAAAAGTTCAAATAGAAATAGGAATTACATGCCCCTTGATGCAAATACATTCTCCTATTCCAACCTAAGAATGCAGACTTGCAGAGACAACGATAAGTACGTCTCACCTAAATTGCAGGCTGATTTTCCATAAAAAAGGTGCAAACAATGCAAATGTGGTGCTATCAAAACATCACAACCAGCCTGACAGTGCAACTAGGGTTGTAACGGTATGAGATTTTCACGGTATGATAATCGTCTCAGAAAATATTGCGGTTTCACGGTATACGGTATTAAACAATCAAAACGGTTTCTTTTTGGGTTGAACAAGTGTTTGAAAGAATGTGTTTATTCAAATTTCATTAATCAAAAACAAGTAATTTTATCACTGATTATTTATTAGTTTATCAACTTATATTTATTATTAATAATTAATAAAAATTCATAAATTCTGGTTTGACTGAATTTTTCTGGATTCTGTACTTTTATGATTTAATACAAATATACTATCAAAAATGGTGGTAGTGAAATGAATGCATAAAACTTTAACAATTTAATTAGTGTTTTAAAATAATAAAATAAAAATAACCTTTATCCTTTTATGCTTTTGCAAAGGGCTGCACAACAGAGATTTACTAAATAAAAATGAGGGAAAAAATTATATTCCTTAAAAATGTTTATGTAAATTATTATTATTATTTTAGAAGTAGGCTACATCATAGTACAATCGTAATTTCTGTCAAATTCTTCGAGTTAAAAAGCGTACTTTTATTTTGACAGGTTGTAGTGAAGAGCTTTGAGTGTCAGAATGTATTTGACAGTGGTTTTCTCAAATAAAATGATGAAATGATTATTAATTGTTCTCTCAGTGAGGCTCTCAGTGTTTGTGTTCACGTCCTCAGATAGTGAGACAGCAGGCGCTGTTAAACACTATGAACGATGCCAGCGCATTGAGTATGTAGTACACGACACAGCGCAGCTCATTCACAGAGAGACATGCAAAAAAAAACAGATTATATATTTGTATAGCAGTGTTTTGTCGTTATTGTACAGCTCTGTTTTTGATTTATTCATCAATCCATCAAATCGCGCATTTTATGTGACATCTGCATTGTAGCTAGCTACTGTAAATTCATTGTCATGACTGGATTCTGGGATTCACTCCGCATCACGGAAATCATAAGGCTTTAACCTTAAGTTATAAATGGGACATAGCTGTATCTGCACGGAGGGATGGTGTTCTGAAATATAGGTAAACATGTTCGATGTGTTTCCTCTTTTTGCAGCCGCTTTCCGACCACAGTTTTTGCGAACTGTGTCTATCCTCGTGGACAAATAAGCGTCCGTCTTTTCTATATCCAAAGTATTCCCATACTGCCAATTTTAACTCATATTTCGACGTGGGATAGAGATTAGAGATAACGGCCTCTCTCTCTGATGTTGTCTCCGCTGTACGTGTGGGTGGAGCAAGAGAACAGTTAAATGGAAAGTTGTTGCCTAGGCGCAGGTGAGATTCTGCGTCTGTTATTTTCTCCCAATACCGTAGATAAGCAAATGTACACTGTATGATAATCGTACGTGTTTACATCGTGGTATATTGTCATACATATCGTTACAACCCTAAGTGCAACATCAACTATTATAATGCATATGTTTGCTATATGTTTGTCTGACAAATGAGGGACAGACCTATTTGAAATCAGTCAATATAGAGTGCTTCTTCAGTGGCCTTGCATGGTTCCAGAAGTATTTTCCACATTCTTCTGCCCATAGGATTTTTTTTTAAAGTCTGTTAAAGAGTTATAAGCCATTCAAATAAAAGTTTGTATTTGTAATGCTGTGATTCACCTCGGAATTCTGAAGGAATTCTGCATTACAAAGACTTAAGGCTATTAATTTAGAATATTTTATTATACAAGTATGCAAGTATAGAAACAATGTAGTTTACTTTTATTACAAAATAACAAGATACTAGTATGCAAATACTAGTAGTTTACAAGTGTAGGGAGACTCTCAATTGCATCTGTTGCAGTGCTTCACGTAGTGGTCGATCACTGCAGAGCTCCTTTAGCATAGTCATTTGCCACGATTCTGATTGGTAGATATTTCTCTGCAGGATCATGGTTAGTGCATTTCTTCATTGGGAATTGCACTGTAAAACATGATTTTGTTTGAAATAATTAAGATAAAATAATCATCATAATCATTGATAAACAACATCTTCGCTCATGGTAGATCTGTTTTTAAATTAACGTTAAAAGTCAATGCCTCTATGGAGAAAACAAATGGGATTTTTACTTCTGTTGCACTATTTTGTTCAATTCCATTTGATAATGCTAGCCAAAGCAGAAATTAAACAGCCATTGTGAGGTTACTCTTAAAAAAAGAAATAACTTCACCACAAATTGATAAAGTTGAGGCAAAGCCAGATTATGCTTGGATGCCTGAATGGGTTTACAGGATAAGACACGGATGATAAGAGAAAGATGTGCTGGGAAATAACAGACTGTGAGAGAGCAAGAGAGGAGAAACGAGAGAGCGAAATACTCGTGGATATTAGTGGGAATTGGGAAAAGAGGGGAAATCAACGAAGAGCAGAGGGAGCGAGAGATGAAAAACGAGAGAGAATCAGAGGGAGAAGCAGTGAATGTATTTAAGTAGGTCACAGATTATTAATAGAGATCCAGTGGCGTGGATAAAAAGAAAGAAAGGGGGAAAACAGTGAGGGATGAGTGAGCGGAAGAGAAAGCATGGAGAGAAACCGCGGGGAAAAGAGAGCGTGGGGAGAGAGTGATAGAGAGAGAAACTGAGGAAGATGGATTGGGAACAGACTAAAGATGAATAGTATATGAAACATGAATACACAATATGTGTTTGAATCCAGCGGAAAGCTTTAACTACACTCTCTTTGAGTGGAGCATCCATGCTGTATTAGCCAATAAGATCAAAGAGACATCCTCCATTTTATGTCACACTGCTTTCTATACAATACATGCATGTGCTTGAATGCTATGCAGCTATGCAGTATGTATATTCTGTGCTCATTTTTATAATGAAAAGAATTTGTTGCAGGATTTTCTAATTTTCACTCAGACATTCCCATATGAAACTGTAATATACAGTGGGGCAAAAAAGTATTTAGTCAGCCACCAATTGTGCAAGTTCTCCCACTTAAAAAGATGAGAGAGGCCTGTAATTTTCATCATATTTTACTATGGGGATTTTATGTGTGTTTTATCTCCATCTACCCAGAGACTGTACGAATGAGAAAATTATATATAGGTAATATGTGTATCAATATCATATATTGTATTGTCATATATTACATTTCTGTTTGGGTTGCTGTTAAATTTCACAAATAAACAAGTAATTGAATTAAAGGTGCAATAGGAGATCTTGGAAAATGCTAACTTTAGCCTGATAGCACTGAAAGCGAAAAAATTACAGGCCTCTCTCATCTTTTTAAGTGGGAGAACTTGCACAATTGGTGGCTGACTAAATACTTTTTTTCCCCACTGTATGTACATGTATTACATATCCATATATGAAATAAACGGTCACATATATAAAACCTATTCGAAATTGGAACATTTTCATATAGTAACATATATAACTAGCCCATACAATGCATGTTTATGCATGTGAAAACACGACAATACATGTTGATATTATTTAGGTAAATATAACAGATAAACATGTATTAAAAAAAATTACAAAACCATATATAAACGTGTGTGTATATATATATATATATATATATATATATAT